CATGATTAAATGTTTTTCACTTATTTTAAAAAAAGATGTTGAGTCTCTTCGTTTCCTTGCAGCTGTGCAGATCAGATGGTGAGGACTGTTGTGATTCAGAAAGATACAAGTGCAGGTACCAGTTTGTTCAGCTTGCAGTTTGTCTGCCCTTGTAGCAGCCACATGTTTAATCCATGTAACAAGGCCTCCTTCCATGGAAAACCCTTTGTGTGTCATTTAAGTCCCACCTCACTGTGAGGTTACAGGCCTGTCTGTATCCTACCAAAGCCCTACAGCAGGAAGCAAAACACCACTAACATGCCGTTTCTGCTTTTTTAGTTTGACTGTTATGTCAGTGCTTTCAGTTACAGTTTGCTTTAACTGTCGATTGAGCTCACATCCAAAAACAGAAGATCTATACAGTTAATCCTCCCCATTACTTTTCATTTATGTATTTGGAGGTAAAATGGAATAGCAGGGTTAAAAGCAAGGGTTAATTTTCCATCTTCTCTCACTGCATGACTAAAGATATGTTTTCTCATTATTTAGTGTTTTCAGGATGAAGCCAACATCTAGAAGGAAGACTGCAGGGTTTGAATTCTGCAACATTCGCCGCAAGCACAAACAAGCCTACGATTGCAACATGCTGCAGCTTAATGGGCTTCAACAAACTTCCACCAAGGAAAGCAGAAAAAATAGCAGGTTGGATACAAATACTATCTGCATCAAAAGGAAGATCTTACTGTGACAATTCCCATGCCTAATTCATTAGCCCTTTTTCAAGGCTATGATCATTTCCGCTGGCAAATATCTGATGAGTTCTGGGTCAGACCAGACTCATCCCTAAATGTTTCAACTTTATACCAATTAGTTCCTTCTCCGTCTATTTGAAAAGAGCGTGAAAAAACATGTGCTTGAAAAAAAAACCTTCAAGCAGAGTGCAGTTAATGTATTTGCAGTCTAGGAGAGAGCACAACATGATGTGTCAAAGTTAAGCATTTCCAGAACTTAAGAGAGAAGTGGCAGATAGTTGAATTGGCAGTTTAAGGTTTATATCCAGCAAGCTGTTAGAAACTCCAGGTATGGACATCACACTCCAACCCACCTCACTTTGGATTTCATTAATCATCACATCTGTTCATTTCACGCAGCACACCCACACTAAAAGGCACTTACATTCACCACATTCCAACATACCATGTTTTCAGTTCTATCTATAGCAGAGCAGAACTAGAAAAGAACATCTTGGCGGTGATAAAAACACCAATTAAATGTAAGCTGGCAATAACTGCTGCAGCTAGTAACTGTTGAGTAGTTACGAGACCAAGGCGCTATTACAAACAACATATACGCGCTCTCACACTTATTTCTCGAGATATAACAAAGAAGGAGGTACAGAACATACCACGGACAGGGCCTTTTGATTATGCCAGAGATTAACTTACATCCGGTATCCTTCAGCAGAGCAAGTACAAATTACCCTCAACGAATAGCGTTTCGCTCGAGTCAAATATGAATAGCAAGAAGATGAAAGCCAAATCAATCTGCCAGCAGCACTCAGCAGTCAAATGTTATTTCTTCCCGCGGCCTTACACAGACTCATTTGTCTTGGCGAGCACAAACTATTTGTTTATTTCATTGCATCCTCATTAGCTTCTGCCAGAGCAGTGTCAGAATCTTCCTTGGGTCTATGCTGTATAATTTAAATGAAATTCAGACACAGACTGTCTACATAAGAGACAAAAGAGAAGATAAATGAGCATTAAGGAGAACATGTTGCATGACAGCTGCATTAATATTGAATCAGCAGAATGATGCAAGGTGTGTTACAAAATAAAAAGAAAATGAAGCAATACAGACACATTACAGTTTATTTTTCAAATTTAACAGAGACCCTTTATGCGTTTTCCTATTTCTGTCATACATATAGAAGATATTCATATTAAAAAGCTGTCGGTATGTGCAGTTAATCACGAAGAATAAAAAACCTCGGCCTCAGACTGCTCTAGACAATCTGTTTCTGTCATCCCAGTCACAAAGCTCCTGCTGGGAGCAGAAGTCCTGGCCACTAACAGATCAAACCTTCTGTTTGCAACGGGCGACCAATCAGGAAAAAAAGCTGGCTTAAAAGGAAGAAGATGAAAGTTAAAAATGGCTTGTTTCAGACAGCGTATGACCTAAGGGTTTGCACCAAGGCCTTATATAAAGTGAATACAGAATACAGTGCAAGAATCGAGCATAATACCTTCCCTCTAAGAATTTTTCTCTGGTTTCTAGAGAACATGTAATTGATTTGTCTTTCATAGTCTAGTAGCAAGAAAATCTTGGTAGGTCCTCAAAGAACTAACCTTTGCTTGACAGAGTATTCAGGTTTGTCTGGCAAGATCCTTAAGCTCCTTTATGTTGTAATGAACCAGATATTACAGACATTTGTTATTTTCTATACTAATCCAAGTTCATTCTGGAGGCGGCTCTACTCAGGCTGTAGAACCTGGCTGTGTCAGGATGACTAACAGACTTAATACAAGTAACAGCACCTCTATAAACTTGGCTAATGTTATGGCCCAAAATAGTGTGTAGTGACAGTACAGTGGCAGCTTGGTCCACTGTAGGCCAAGCAAGAAATGAAAAATGTGACATGAAAAGCATGTAGAATTAATTTCAGTGCAAGACTACAAATCTGTTTCTGCGTGGTGTTTAAACTGAAGTCCATTCATCAGTACAGGATGTCAAAGTGACCGCTCCTGTTGAAGGTCAGCAGAGCACAAACTCAATTGTGTCTTGGTTCATTTAATTTTTAATTTCCATGGTCTGATAAGAATCAAATGCCAAATACAGCACAGCATCTTCCCCCTTGCATTGAACTGGCAAACTGCCACAAGCAATCTGCTCCGGGGATGCTGATTTTTTTGCTGGCCCTGACCTCTAACCTCCCATGGGAGAGTTCTTCCCTTTGGGGATTAATGTCATTTCTGGTGATCATTACATTAAAACCAATGTTCAAATGCTTCGGAGCCAACAGAGCATTCAGCAACCAAATAACATTAAACTTGAGTCAAATTTTAACCTGACTCAAAAACCTGGGTCCTCCTATGACTGCAAGTCTAAGGAGACCATTCATGATATCTGAAGTAGTAATCCAGCCGTGGTCACCGACATGTTGAAACTGGCACAACTGCAGCCCACGTAAGAGTCAGCTAGCAAGTATGAAGACAAGAATGATCATTTTTATTGTTATGGTTTCTAAATAAAAACATGACGGTTAAACAAGGTAGAAGGGGGAGACTAAACCCCAAGACAGGGGATCAGGATAAAACTCCAAACGCTTGATCCATTAACCCATATTCACTGACGCACCGGGTTGACAGAAGTCGCTGCAGGTTGTCAAAAGGGGAGCTCAGAGCATTTAAGCACACGATAAACATGGTGACTTCTACGAGGAATTCACTCACTGCAACGGTAAAGCTGAATGCGCACCTGAAATGGACGCTAAATGTGAAAATTCCACGCGCTGCTGTGCGTAACGGACAGGTAACACGGCGTTTGACGTGACTGGGAAAATGACTGAAAATTTGGATGTTTCCCTCACCTCCTCGATATACAAGTGTCCGGGTGCAAAAAAGACGATGCAATGCCATAAAGGAATCTCATCACTCACCTTAGATGGCTTTAATATTCAGTCCTGAGCGCAGATTGTCTTGGAAAAGCCGAGGCGACGCTTCAGTGTTGCCGCCTGTCACCGGGAGGGAGGAGTTTGTGTTTACTCCAATATAACAGAGCTGTCAGCAACCGCACGGATCCTCTCTGTTTTTGGCGAAGAGAGGGAGCCGCAGTCTGGCCACAAACTTTATTACAACGTGTGTGTAGGACTTCTGCATTACAGATTCACTTTTTTTGTTTGTTTGTGACAAAGTCGTGTGGTTCCTTCTGAAGGTGTGCTTTAACTTAATAGGATTACATACTAGAGATGAAACGAGGGGGATTTGTGATTTAAATAAAGTGAATGAATTATGTATCATTTTTTTGAACTGCAACAATGGGTGATAGACCGACACAAGAGTCTTTTGTTAATATGAGTAAATACACGTTCAAAGAATTGAATGCGTCATGGTTTAGGGGAATGGAAAAAAATGATTCTCTCGATCATTGTAGCTGCTTATCTGTCCTTATCAGGAGGCATGTATCCCTGCCCTGAGGTTTATAGCTCCAGTCATACTGGAAAAGCAGAACACTCTTCCTGTCTATTCTCAGAAAGCAGCAAATAGCAAAAAAACTGTGAAATGTGATCCACAGTGAAACACGCTAATCTGATTTCTCTGTAATTTTGACATTTTATATAGTGTAAATGTGATTTATAATCTGTGACACTCCCCTGATAGCTTTAGTGCTTTATTGATGACGTATGCGTGTTATTAAGTGACAGCCCTCTTCCAGTAATTTTCTTTCTCATGCAAGATAAATAATTCATCTGCAATAAGTTTTATTGCCCTGCAATATCAAGGAAAGGACTTTGAAACCAAAGGCTGCAAACCTTTTTTAATAAGTCCAGCAGAAGGTGTGTGAAGTTCCTGAATTACAGGATCAAGAATCCTTGAAAGATTTGACATATTTATTTTACATGTTTTGAAGTTGTTGGGTTTTGTTTGGCTCAGATCTTCAGATTCATCATCTGCACTTTACAATAATTTACTTCAAAAACAAATAAACTGTATATTTCTTCTTTTCTTCTTCTTTTTTTTTACATGACAATGGCATGGCACCAGTATTATTGTTGGTGAAACAGGTGTCTCTACTATGACAACCAGCTCCATGTTTCCCTTCAAACCAAAGGTCGCAGCCATAAACATGACATTTTATGACCAGCTATCTATATTCCCCTCCAACAAGGAAGGTAAATGAGAATTACTTAGAGAATCTTTAGAGGCTCAGAGGACCTTGATCTCATTCTGTGGCTTCACCAGAGCTTTAGAGAAGAAACTCTGGGATTCGTGTTTAACTAGTGTAACTGGAATACAGTGATAATGCCTTCCACAAAGAAGACTCTGCATTTCATATCCAGTGCTTTGGCTACATCTATATCTGTTGGGCTTATTGGATATGGCATGTCAACAAAGTGGGTTATAACAACCATGGAGTGCGCACAAAAGGCTACTGGTTTGTACAATGGATCTGCTGAGATCACCTTGGCCCTTTTTGATGGAATATTAGAGAGATCCTCCTGCCCCCTGTTTGGAGCTACAGATAGATTCCAAGGTAATTTTCAAAAGTTCAACCAACTAGAAACAGACTCAAACAACAAAGTTCTCTCATATATTGATTAATTTTGACCACCAGCTTCTGGTCTTACTCTAGAATCTGTGTCGCTCTTAGTGTGCATAATGAAAAGAACACACTGTCAACAGTTTTTCCTTCTGACACAAGCTGTTATGATTAGAAGTCCCAGACAGATATCTCAAAATAAAGACAAATGCTATCAAAACTTCCATCGTGAAGGAGAATGAAACTGCTCAGGCAGTTTTACCAGCCTCTTGTACTCAATAAACATGGAAGTTCAGTACAGCATTAAATGTAGGACCATAATAACCTGTGTTTCTGTGTTTAGTGATTCCTACATTGGCAGGAAGAGAAGTTGCTTCAGTAGTCCTACACGGTCTGGTTTTGTGCCTTCTTGCCCTCTGTCTGCTGTTTTCGGCATGCAGCATCCTCATCTCTCTCTACAATAGTGTCAGCAATCCTTATGAAACCTACATGGGGCCTGTTGGAGTCTACATCTGCAGCTCTCTCAGTGGTAAGTGACTGATATGTTATAGCAGTAAGCATGTTGCAGTTGCACAAGCGGAAGTGCTGGGGCATTTCCATGAAAAAATAAGGTGTGATTTTTGTCCTATTCTTTTGTTTGTGATATTTCTAATGCTACTTATTCTCCTGCAGCATGCTTGTCTGTGATAGTCCTCATCCTGTTTGTGGTGAACATCAGTGCGACCAATATGGCAGAAACCTTTGTAGAAAAGTATACTGAGGGTGTTCCAGTAGCCCTGAAGGGAAAGGCTTCAGTGATGCAGGTAGGATATTACCTGGTCATCCCTTACACAGTGCTCTCTCTCATTGCCATCGCCTTGATCTACACATATGAACATGCAGCCTACACACGCAAAAAAGAGCAGCAGAAGCCTACAGAGGATGCACCCATGGACTTAACAATGTATTAGTGCAACAGAGACCATGGAGTTTTCAATACCACTGATATATTAAAGACTTTCTCAAGAAACCTACTGTAATGAAAGATAACCAACTGTGGTTATACACAGTAAGGTCTGGATACACGGTAAAGCCTTGTTCATTGTATGATAGATTTATAATATTTAGTCTTACTATATCAGGAATAGTCTGGTCGGATCAAGTACCTTACACTTAAATGTCATGTTTTGAGCAACAATTATGTAATTTCAGCATTTTGATCAAATTTGATATCAAGGTATGACAGTGCAAAGTGTTTGCTGATACAGTAAAAATATTACCATGTAAATTTATTTTCATTCATATGTTTTTGACATGAAATTCCATTCTTAAAAAATAACTATTTATTCTGTTTGTTTGTTTTTTAATTTTGTGTAATCTTTTTGGATTAAATGTATCAATTTAGTTTGTTTTTTCTTTTAAAAAAAACCACCATTGTAATATAATCATCACAAAACATGCTTTACAGATCGTCAGGCAGACAAAACCTCAATGATTTTACTGTGTTCTGTGTCCATTAACATCAGCTTGCAAAATAAAACATTAGAAAACATGAATAAAGTGATGAGATTGGATTGATTTTACTTGAAAAAATGAATTTTTGCAATTTAATGTTATACATTTACTGCGGTACTGCATTACAGATTCACTACGAACAAGCAAAATGATTACATTTATTGGAAAAATCTAAAGAGCGAGTCAAAAAAATGGATGAACCCACTGAGGGGGTTTTTACTGATGTCTGCTGCCCTCTATCTCTGAAATTATGTAATTGCAAAGAGATGCCAACAAGTCAACAGTTTCAACCGGGAATAAAAGAAAAGGGATTTGTTTTCAGTTAAAGTCTCTCATTTGCTATTATGTATTACTGGCACAATCATTTGAAGGCTCGAATTTATCTTTAGAAGGGAGAATTAAGGCACACCCAGTCTACCCAACATGGAGTAGACCACTGGTACCCACCTTTTCATTGGTTCTGGTCCACAGACCTGCCAATAAACTTGATAACTGAAAAGCAGCATGTGTTCTGTGATACTTATTTCTTCAGTCAGTTTCTATATTACCTTTGGTTCTCCCTGTTTCAATCAACTGCATTTATCTAACTACTGTTTCCACTTGGAGTCAGTGTGAATATATATTTACACCGCACATAATTATTTATTCTACTTTCCAGTAAATGTGCTTTGCCAGCAGGTAACTACACAGCTACTTACCTTCTGAATTACTACAGAAGCCATATGGATTACCTTTCTTACCTTCATCAATTCATGGCTCACCAGTGAAGCGGTGCTTAAGTTGAGCCCTTTAAACTCCAGTGATGCATTGCATCTTAACTGTATCCTTTTCCACGTGAGACCTACTACAGAAACCCCTGATGAGAGATAAAGATTTATTACTCAACTGTTTAAAACATTTCAAAGGGCTGGAAAAATCGCAGCCGATGCTGACCAACGTATTGATGGTTACAAAGCTTGCAGATTTTGTAAAAACATAGATCACAGATAGATCTTGCTGAGAGTTGGCGCCTATTGTCTCCTGGATCTTCGGGCATTCTCACGGCTGTGATTCACATGGCTGTGTTGACATGAGAGCAAGGGTGAGGTGTCCTGTTACCGTTTCCCCTGTCCCATCACTCAGGGCCTAAAGTCTGTTTGGACATGCCCTTTGCAGCACCTCTCAGCCCTGCAACGCCTTCTACCTGCCTTCAAAAGAACCACTCTTCCTTAAAGTCTCACACTTCAAGGGACCTGTGGAAGGATGCAGCAATTTGCTTTGTTGTCGTCAGCGCGAATATGTATTAAATTTCATGCATTTGCATGCTTTCTGCAGCGATTCAGAGACATATCAGACCTGACAGAAATTCTGTTAGTAGAGCAAGAAAACTCACCATGCTTTTTGAGGTGAAAAAAGCCAGTTTTTTAGTCTAAAAAAACAGTCATTACCTTTCAAATTGTAGCTTATGTTTTATAACATGCCACCAAATAGCTCCTGCCAAATATCCTTCTTGCAGAGTGATGTAGACTGACTTAAACCTGCAGCTGTGACAAGGACGCAGTGTGAAGTTGCGACAGGTTGTGTTCTCCAGAGGAAGCCACGTCAAAGCATGTCTCAGCACAAAACCGCCTGCTGTGAAGATGACAAGCCCTTCACAAGAAAGCACGGATTTGCCAGCCATTAGAGACCCTTTTAGTTTATGTTTTACTTTAACTCTGACAGAATGCAATAAACCTGTCTTGATCTCTAAAATGATCATTTATTTATTTAGTTAGTTAGTTTCAGTTAGCAAATATATATACAGCTTCAATCACACTTTCACTTTCAGTCATTTCAAGTTGATACACAGTAGAATTCCTCAGTTCTGAACATCAGCTGGTTTAACAGCAGCTATAGGAGAGATGTTTAACTGTAACTATTACTGCTCTTCCTCTTTGTGCACTGAGGTGTGGAATAGCTACTAATAACGGATTCTTCTTGCCGTTTGCTGTGCAAACACTGACTGAATAAAATCAGTGATGGGCGGTAATCTCTTCCTCTCTGCATACTCTCGGTCTCAGAGCTGACCAGAATGGATAAACCTGGGATTAGGCAGAAGCCCTAAGCCCTGACCACTCACTCTGTGTGATAGGATTAAAGCAGAAACTTTTGTACCTGTGAAACATTATCCACTAAGGTCCTGAATTACAGAGGACTGTGAAACAGACACCTCCAGCTGCGGGGAAGTGGGGTCACACATTCAGCCATGTCGAGTAAACGGTGGTAGGCCATAGTAGAACGGGGGAAGGCCTGGCCACCTTCCACTTTTAGGAACATATTGCTGGCAAGTGAGCAGTATGGTGAATACATGTAGGAGTATAAAGCTTTCTACTCTAGTGAAGAACTCAAATAGCTTTATACAACATGTCATATTCACCCATTATTTTGTGCAAGAATTTTTTTCTACATCTAAGATTAAA